AACAAAATAATTAATTATTATCTTTATAAGAAAATTATATTATTAAATCAAATATAAATTACTTCGTTATTGTACCTAAATTAAATTATAATAAAAATTTTGAATTAAAAAATTACACAAAAATGAGGAATTTCAAATAGTTAATTTGATACTAATGTAATTTGATACTAATGTCGATATATTTTTGTCAAATTTTTATGATATCTTCAAACATATATTTTATTCAAAAATAAAAACATCATCGCTTTCTCAAAATCATATAAAACCATATTATAACATCGACCGAGATAAAGAATAAAATGAAATATCAAAATCATGATGTATCTCGCTGCATTGTACGAGTACGTTTCTAGTATATATATATATATATATAGGGTTGGATTCACGTGAGACCAAGGGTTTTTCGTGAGACCCATAAGACCAATTCTCAACCCTTGGATTAGATTTACAATCGTCAGATCTGAACATTCATAAATGCGACGAGACTTCTCAGTAAGGATTGATAATTGGTCTTACGGGTCTCACGAAAAACCATTGGTCTCACATGATCCCAAGTGTGTATATATATATATATATATATATATATATATATATTCTAGAATTGAATGTGGAGAAGATGATTAGAATTCAGTGAAGCAACAAATAGTGGAATGCTTCGTTTCAATTACTATGACACGAGCATTTAACTTTATTACCATATGAACATCTCAAATTTAATTTAGATGACGTCATTATTTTTCTTGAAATTATATATATATATATATATATATATATATATATGATACTTGAAAGGTTATTTAGTAAATGTTGGTCATCAATATTTTTCTTTTTTAAGTTACAGAGTTTTCCAAAGCTTGAAGAATATACATACATACATACATATATGGATTTCTCCAAAGTTAAGACATAAATGTGTAGCTAGCTCTCTTGTTTTTCTTTCATTCTAAGTCAATTTTAATATCCCAAAAATACCCTTTTAACTTTTATTTAACAAAAATGGTATCAGACTAGATCCAATCGGTCAATCAATTTTAGTAATAAAACACAGCAACTTTTACAAAATTGTGTCCTTTTAAAAAAATAAAATATTGAAAATGTTATTAATAAATAAATTTAAAATAAAATAAATAATGAAAAGGTATAAGGAGGAATTTTAGCAACGCAAGCATGAAATCATGTGACTTTAGGCGGGCCTCTCAAACACCCATCCGTGATCTCCTTACTTTTCACCTTCTCTTTTAAGGATTAGGATTTAGGATGACAGCCCCACCCCACAGGCCTTGCTTAAAATCAACTTGGCACCCAAATCCTCTTCAACTAACTTTTTTAAACCTATATTTTTATTTTAGCCAATTCTCAACAACCTCCACCTTGGCTAAATAAAAAAAATCTTCACTACAACACCCGCAACAGTTGTCTAAATCGACAATCATAATTCTCAAATAAGAGAACCATGTGGGTAGTTAAGCCAAAATGGTAACGAGCTAACCAATCCATTCCCACTACTCTATCGAATTCTCCCATCACCATTGGTATGAGATCAATGGAAAATAATTTATTATCATTTTTTAGTAAACATCCCAAAAAGATATTATAGATTAACAAAACTTTGCTATCCGCTATTTCGATCCCAAAGGGCTCTCTAATTTACTAATGGAACTAAAATTTTCATTGAACTTGAAAGCAACAAAAGATCTACTAGCATCATAATCAAATAAGACACAAGCAAACATTAAGTTTACAAGAAAAATACATGTCACGACATCTAGTGTTCCTTTAACTTCTTTCGCAGTTATTTGAAAGGCATGCCCATTTGGTTGTAATGCTTCCACTTTTTCTTATCATTAATCATTTTTAATGGTCTTGCTTTAAGCATCTTTAATTTCGGACACTCGCTTTTCTTTTGTACTGGTTCATAAAAGTTATAACAAAATTGAAACGAACTTTGACACTGATTGCTTGTATGACTAGCCTTATCGCACTTGAAACAAGTTAACATTCTTGATCTATATTCTCATTCCATGCCTTTTACCACACTTCCCACAAACTAGAATTTCCCCCTTTTATCTTCCTTTTTTTTGCAGATTGCCGATCTTTAATTTCTTTGATAGAGAAGTAGATGTATCCAGCCTTCTTTTTATTGTCTCAAATTTTCAATTATGTTTCTTTTGATCCTCTCTCTCAATGATTTGATGATGATCATTTTTATCTAAAGAAAAATACTTTCTCTTTATTCAGCTTCAACGATCATCGCTGAACATGTTCAGTGATCACTGAACAAGTATTGTAACTCTCAAGAGACAATTATTCTTCAAGAAGACAAAATTCACACCACAAGAACCTTCAGTGATACCGAAGATAAAGCTGAAGACAAAGACAAGCAGTTCGTGATTTGATGTGGTTTCAGTGATAACAAGTCTGTCTACAAATATGTGAAGTATACTCAAGATTCAGCATACACTAAAGAAACCTTAGGGTGCGTTTGGTTTGCAAGAATGTTTCTGAGGGATTTGGATTCCCTGGAAGGATTTGGATTCCATGGGATTTGGATTCTCAGGATTTAAAATCCATTCCTGTGTTTGCTTTGCAGGATTTGGATTGGATTTGAAATCCATTTCTCTGTTTGGTTTGTAGGATTTGTTTTTGGATTTGAATTTGGATTTGGATTTAGATTGAGATTTTTTTTGTAATTATTTTAATCACCAAATCTCTTTCCTTTTGTTAAATCTATCTATTTAACCAACAAACCTAAAAATTGATGCTAAATCCAGAAAAAAGCATCAAACTTCATAGATAAGCATCATCCATAAGCATCATCCAAGAAACAGATGCCAAGAAACAGCAGTAGTATTGGGTATCCTTACTCAAAAGAGCTAGCAATAAAAATAAGATCTTTATTGAAGGGTGAACTAGGGTATATAGTGAAGACAACTAAAATTTAATGAACAACACACCAGTTATGGTATTACGCAATCATCGAACTGTATGTATGGCAATGTTATCACCACCATTATAGATTCATAGGAATGGATCAGGGTAGAGGAGGAAAGAGAGAGAAGACAAAATTTTCTAAAGTATTACCCCTTGTTCGTTCATTCAAACAAGTATCAAATAAAATTGAAGGAGAAGCAAAATAGTTTTCCATGCACATACTGTAAGCAGAAGCAAAATAGTGGCTGTAACCTAATTTGTGTTCATAGTTTAGACAGAAATCGAACAGGGAA